ATGAATATCCATAATGCAATCCTTTACCATCGAGAGAATACTTGCGTACGTGCGGGTGAATCGAGTTTTAATCCCGTTGCGTCAGTAAAACCCCTCTTTGCTGGGATTAATAATCACCGTGGTTGCATGCCTCAAAGCCGATTGATCGCATAACGCTACGCAGCTCCGACTAATGTCACCTGATAACCTATTTACAGCCTATTTCGCCTTTCTGCGGCACATTACTCCAGTGGTTAAAAAACGTAATCAAAAAGGAGATAAGGAGAATATCTGTTTATATTTAAGTAAATATATTTAATTAAGAATTATCTGCAGCTATTCACGATCTTTGGATGCTATCCTGATAATTTATTAAAAATCGACTGTTCCAGGAAAATAAAATGCTTCAAATTTTTCTTTGTTATAATAATTATTCAGTCTTATTTTGGTTTTGAAATGAGGAATAATTTAAATAGAAATAAATTTGAGATTATATTTTTTTATATATTATATACAAGAATGTGTAAGTTATTTCTAAAATAACGCAGTATATTTATTTCTACATATATTCGTATAGTGAAAAATCTCTGAAAAATCATTTAACTAAACATACAAAATAGGAAGTCGCAGATGTTTTTCAAATTCTGTTACTCTGTGCTTTTTCGTACTACAACATCCAGATCCTTCCTAAAAAAAAATCTGCAACGTGAATCAAGAGACAGCTACATATCGGTTGTATTCAAGCTAACAAAACAAACGAGGAGTTGACGTTTCAATTCATGTATGTACGTGTTTCCAAAGGGAAAACAAAATATGAGAAAAATAAGGATAATGTATAAATTCAATAAAAATAATCCAATGGCGATTAAAGCATCTGCGGCAGAAACGTGACAATATAGCAATTCACTGCGTGCCGTTGAATAAATAAAAGACATGGCATTCAATTATCGCGCTTCATAATTTCAGTAGGACAAATGAATAGGCCGCAGAGTGTCGGACGAACTTTTCGAATGCAAATCTGTCAACCATTCACTGCTTGACAATCCTTCGTTAAGAGAATCTCAGGATACGCGGAGGATACGCGAATATTGATATTCATATAATACTCATAAAATTCTTCTGTCTTTCTTTTTCCCCTTTTCTCCATACGTTTTAAAGTTCTTTCCAAATGCCGTATATTATTGATGAAGAGACGATCACCTTCTCTTCGCTCTCAAGGAGTCGTGAAAAATCTTTACAATTGATTCAACTTGCATTGCTTCCTACGAGTCTACGTCGTGGATGCTGATTGGTTTTACAATTTTTCCACGTCCACGACGTTTTCCCTTCTCGACCTCGACCTCGCCGTCAATGCATATCCGGTGCACCTTATTCGATTATGTTCCCCGCGCGTCTTCCAGCGTTATCACGTATAAAACTGACTAGTGCAATCCAATTATATCGTCATGACGGCCGCCGGCGTCAGGACAGATCCCACTCTGGACAGATTTTATTCAGCTTTGATACGTTACGAACGTCGCCGTCGCGCGTCGCGTCGTCGAGCTTTTATTCGAGCTGGTTTCAACCGGCTGTAAAAGATTACCGTATAAAGAAAGCGATATCGTATGATAGAAATTGAGATAGGAATCGAAGTGTTTATTTGCGCAGTTACACTCGCTGTATTTTAATTTTAATATAAAAAAATTAGTTTTTTAATTTGACTCTCCTCCAGTATATGCACTATTAAATTATGAAAAATATTCTATGTATAATAGATTTATTAAATATATACGTATGCAAATTGGTAGAATCGTAAATATGCATATATGTATTATTGATAGGTCGATGCATAAAAAACAAAAATCCGTATGTATACAAAAGGTCATCCAGTTAACATTCAAGAAATGTGAGCGAATTACAATATTTGTGAAATGGCTCATTCAGCTTATTGTACTCTTCATGTGATTATTCGTTGTATTCTTATTCTTATATTATTAATCTTTATGCAGTTAAAAACTATGACACACAGAAAACTAGGGAAATAAAAACGTAATAGTGAATAAGTCAATCACAGTAGAGACCGTAAGATAATAACATTATTATCACGTCTTATTGTTTAACTTCTTTTTGTATGCTATAACCTTTACAGTTTTAATATATTTTCCTGCGTGTTTTTATTTATTTATTATATTCGAGTCGTTTAATTAAATAATACTTTTAACGCTCTAATAAGCGATATGTTATTGCAAATGACTGTCGCGGTAAATAATAAGCGGAAATGGTGACATCGTTATTAGCCTGTTTTTTGCGCTCTCTCCAAGGGAAAAAGCACTCGATACTGATCCAATTAGACTCTACGATCTTTTCCGCTGACTCGGCTCGTCTCAGAGAGTAGAAATTTGCTGAAAGCTGGAGTCTAAAGTCACGTGGATATTGCGTCATAGTTAGCCACTTTGCTGAGGAATGATTACTCCCTTTCGAGCATCCTACGCCTTTTTACCTCGTGCATACCCTAGAGAGTGTGTAAAAGAAGGTTGCAAACTTAACTAATAATTCGCCTTTAAACATTAATACATAGTTCTGAGGTGTATAAAGAGAGAGATTAATTATCTTCTTTAAAAATTACTTCTCATACTTTTACCTCTATAAGATTAAATGAATTTCGATTTATTTTGCGATCGAAAATTTGTTATCTGTTTGAAGTTGCAATTTATAAAATATTCAATATATCATGTAAACACTGTAATGTAAAAAATAAAATGTTAATTTTAACTTAAAGACGTATAGTGGATTTTCTGAGACATGCAAAAATGTTAAAATTAACAAAACTAAATACATAACGCTCACTTGTAACTAAACAATATAAAAGTGACACTAGGGTATATAAGTAATAACTAGATTACAGTTGCTAAAACATAATATTTCAAATAACATCAAATAAAATAAAAACATAGTCGTTTAGGATGTAATCTTATATTTATGATCAACATTGATAATGACCGAATGTTCTAATCGAAACGTATGTTTTTATTTTATTTGATGTTATTTGAAATATCGTGTTTTAGCAACTGTAATCTAGCTATTGCTCATATACCCTAGTGTCACTTTTATATTGTTTAATTAAAATTAACATTTTATTTTTTACAGTGTAATAATTTTCTAATTATAATTAAATTAGATTCGGAGATTAAAATCGGTATTACACCAATTTTTATATTTTTGTCAAAAAAATGTTGATCTGAGATTATTAAGAATCACACCCATAGAAATTTTGATACAAATCTTCCGACTCGCATACTTAATGGAAAAATCGATATTTACTTCTGATGATATCAATGTAAATTTTAATATCTTGTAGCAATAACGTCGTGATAAGAATGATGCTCAGGGCAAATTTACGAAAATGTCATCATAAATTTACAATGCCGCTCGTACGTCTTCTCTTGCGAGGCGTCGCCTGACGTAGTTTGAGGTGGTAAGTGCTGAGGGTGGTACCAGCTATATCGCGGCTTCTAATTTCCACCGGCGACCTTGGACAAAGAAATCGTAAATTTCTCACGCCCACGAGTTTTACCTGGGCGTGGCAGACACGACGAGAAGAAACAGATAGAGACGGCCGAAGGGATTGGAGAATTGAAAGCTCTTCCATTTTCACGATATTCCAACGGATCATTTGTCCTCGAAATATTTCTTTGTTCCAAAAAATCTTACACGTTTTGTAGCTTTTTCATTCTCATTATTACAAAGTCATAAAAACGTTTCTTTTAATTCTGAATAGAAATATATCGTCGGAAAAGTTGCTCTCAGCAGAGAAAAAGCGTATTTCTTTAACCAGAAGAGTGAATTCTGTTTCCTGATTTTCTCGAATTTTTCTTTACGGTACAGAGTACGAATCGGCAAGTGAAGAATGTAATAATGTAAAAATTATTTACTAAGTTAGCATTAAAATATGACGCTTTTAATTTTTACTTTTACTAGACGAAAAACAATTAGAGTACGTCGTTTAGCGCATTAAAATTGTCATGTAGCTTTTAGATCTCAAATTTTGCTGTTAATTCTCATGATAAATTCCAATTGCATTTTAATTTTACAATGTATTTCCGACATAGTGATTGTAGCACAATCTGTATTTTGCGTACTGTTGTTGAGGAAAAAGTCCACGACCGTACCCTGTAATCAAAGCGCTTTCGCTTCGCCAAGTCAAAAGCAGTAAACACATTTCGTATCTTGGCACAGGTGCGCAAGAACTTTGGTACAAAGAAAAAAAATTTACTAAATCTAATACATATTTTTTTTTATAGTATTAAATAAACGTTTACTTACACTAAATAAATATTTACTCAATAAAAAAAGGCAGGTACATTAAATTAATGGTTCTTGTACTAAATACATATACAGGGTGTCCCTTTTTTGCCAATCACTTTTGTGTAGATAGAGCGAACTAAACTGAGTCGAAAAATCCTCTATCAGTTTGCAATTTTCGCAATAGTTAACAAGATATTAATTACTAAAAATTGCAAAATATTGATCTTGAATAATTTTTTACTCAAATACTATCAACTTTACAGAAAAACTACGACAGACAAAAATTATTTATTTTCTTCTCATAAAGTTTTGAGAATTTTTTCAGAATTTTTTATCAACTTTTTAGTACTGTATTTTCTTATTTTTATCAACATGAGAAAATACGATATTAAAAAGTTCTGGAAAAATTCTGAAAAAATTCTCAGAACTTTATGAGAAGAAAATAAATAATTTTTGTCTCTTGTAGTTTTTCTGTAAAGTTGATAGTATTTGAGTAAAAAATTATTCAAGACCAATATTTTGCAATTTTTAGTAATTAATATCTTGTTAACTATTGCGAAAATTGCAAAATGGTAGAGGACTTTTCGACTCAGTTTAGTCCACTCTATCTACACAAAAGTGATTGGCAAAAAAGGTCGGGACACCCTATATATTTAGTAAATATTTACTTAGAACTATTCAAACATTATATTTTTATTACCAAAGTCAAACACATTTGATTAATTCCTTTGTCACAGGATGGACCATGAGGAAACGTGGTGCCGGCTGGTTGTAGACGAACGGTCGGCCACGCTTGCACCCCATCGTCGGTCGTCGTTGTTGACGAGTTCCCGGTACGTCCAATTCCGAAGCAAGCGGCAGGTGTCGCACATAATAGCAGACACGAGCTTGATAGGTGCGATAATCGGGGGTGGCTCGGTCGTTGCCGCCGCCGGGCCGGCGATGCGACGATGAGCTCGCCGAGGGTGTTGCTACCCCTCCACACCCGACCAAAGGTGAGACAATCTTAAAACTTTCGGTTGTATATTGCTGATCTTACACGCGTCTATTTCTTCTTTTCTTTTTTATTAATTGGGAAGATTTTAATTTGATATTTAATTTTTAATTATCTTTTTGTCATTTAAACACGACATTTTTTTAAATATTAGGTGAGTGTAAAAATTCGTGCCCAATTCATTATTTAAAATTCAAACAGCTGTTATTTTTGTTAAAAATAAAATAAAATCTAAATCTTACTCTATCTGATGAGAGAATTTAAGAATCTGTTTTTTTAACATATTCAGAATTTTTTAAATTATATTTTTTTAAATTATGATAATTTTGATGGAGCAATCAAAGTCAAAATATTTCTTTTATTTAATTCAACTCACTAATGAAAAATCGTAGGGACATTTTTTAAAAACGATTTTACAGGGAAAACTTTAAAAAGCTTTAAGCTTTTACATTAGAAATTAAAAAAATTTGCAAATTTTTCTTGGACATGTGACAGGTCCACAAAGTGAAGAAAAAAATTTCCCATTTTGTTTAACTCGTAGTTTTCTATATGTAAAAATTACAAAACTCACACAAATTCAAAAAATATAGTAACCATTTGAAAGTAGAGATTTCAAGCTTTAAAACCTTTTTTTTAAATTTAAATTTTGTTTATTTTTAACAAAATTGCAGCTGTTTGAACTTTGAATTAAATAAATTGAGCACGAATTTTCGCAATAGAAGTATTTTCTTAAAAAAAAAAAGGATTAATGAATTGACAATCTACTACGCAAAATCACTCTGTTCTTAAATATTTTTCATCTCTTAAATTGATTTTCCTGATTGAAAAATGTCATATGTTTTAAAAGTTAAATTATATTCGAATAAGTTCGAATAAATTTCTAGTTTGAGAGATAAGCATTTCTAATATTGATACGTTAAATAGTTAAAAGAGATATATTATATTTTTGTGAAAACAAAATTATCCCCTCGAATAAGTCATTATTTTTTATTTTATTTGGCATATAGAGGGGCTACCTTGTGTAACATAAAACATCACGTTTATTATACATCAAACTTTAATTCGAGCAATCTCGAGATATTATTGACATGGCAATACATGGTATATATCTTATTGATTTATTTATTTTTTCGATTTTTACGTAATAAGGGGAAAGTAACGAAACGTATAATCACGAGTGCGAAAATATTGGTATATACGCGAAGTAATATTGCTTCTTCTTCGTGCCTAGCGAGCGTTACATTGCGAAACTCGACAAACAGAATGCAGAAGAACGTTGTTATTGCGAATGATGACGGTTTCGTGCCTAAGTCTCTCACCTTTATGTCCCGACAGCCCCGTGTAATAGCAAGGCCGGGTAGTCTCGAAAACTGCATCAATCAGGCCGAGCGACGAGGAGCGGCAGGCGGTTCAAGGCCGAAACTATCCGCGTGGCCATGGACCACGAGACGAGGAACGGAACCGGCAGCAACGACAACGAGGAGTACACCAATATTTACTTCATCGTCGGCGACCGCAGGGAGACGGCCACTTATAAGGCAAACCAGGTCACGGACATGGAACTCAAGGGTGAGTGGGAAAGTTTTATTACCTCGCTGGTGAAAAGTTTCATCGATTTTTCTGTCGTTCTCGAACAAACTTTTTTATTTATTTAACGCAGCGTCCGCGAAATATTCGTGCGTGGTGAGAAAGTACACACATGTGTTGTGCGCGGTGGGAACGTTCAACTAGTTTTCATAAAATCGTCGTCTATATTGGCGAAAATAAAACAGAATTCTAGATTAATTGCAAGTTATATTAATGTTTTCATAAAATCAAATCGCTTGAAATATCCATTTTTATAAAGACATTTTTATTAGAAAATTTAATATGGAAATACTTTCACATATTTATTAATATATACATTTAAAATTATGCAGGAGTTTTAGGAGAGGTTGTTAGCAAATGGTGTAACTTTTTAATATGAATATAGTAATAATTTATATCAGGAACGGTAGCGATAAAAATTTGTAATTACGTCACGATAACAATTTTGTTATGAAAAAGTACTATAAGCTAACAATATTCGTTGTATGCGTAAAAATATTATAAACTTGTTAATATAAGTTCTTAAGTTGGATATTAATGGCTAATTAAAACATTTAGAAGATAACGATTTTTTTCAAGACTCAAGATTATTATTCTTATGCTATCCATATTAGATATCCATATTAAATGCTATCCATATAATCAACGCTTAAGAATTTTTATCGTCATTAAAGTTCCATAAATCTAGATATGAATACGATAAGAACGTGTTACTTATTCAAGAGTATTCAATTTATCAGCGATCCAACTGAATTGCAAGAGAAAGAAGGATTAACGCGAAAGTTAGCCGTCCATTAATCTTTCGACAAGAAAAATATTTTATCCTAGCCGAATATCTCACACCAAGGCAAATATCCTATTCTGTCCTACACGTCTTGAACTTTTCACTCGAGCTTCATGACCACGCGAAAGTATACTCGGCGGATAAAAGTGTGAGAAGCTTCTTCCCGTCAATGGTGTATCGGAAGGCAAGCGAATATTTGACGTTCGTCAAATAAAAAGATTTAATCAATTATCGATTGTGACGCGACATGACGCGACACGCGAGCCAGCCAATCCTGCGGACGATATGTTCGCTTTACGCTTTCGCCTGTCGCCCGATATGAAAGCTTTCTCTTCGAAGCATTACCAAAATTATGTTTGCACACACTTCACCTTCGTACCGTGACCTATCGACCGAACCGCCGCGCCTCGTCTCGCCTCGCCTCGCCTCGTCGCGCCGTTTCTCTCTGCTATGCTCGGTCGAGTGGCCGACCGAACCGGCGCGGCGCCCCTTACGACCCCCTCGTCTGTAGAGGGTAAAATGACATGAGCACGCACTTGTGCCGCAACTTGTCCCAACTCTTTCAACCCTCTCACTGTTAGGATAATTTTCTCGATTTTGAGGCAAGCGACGACGATCTCGAGAGCGTACAGAGCAGCTAGATTGCATTTTTTCTATCCTTCTCGACCGTTAATACTTAGCTCATATTTGACCTAATTTTAACTTCTTTTCCATCTTGTTTTTCTTTCTCTTTCCTCTTTCTTCGGTTGATATAGGTTTTCTCTTTCCGCCACTTTATAGCATACCATATTTTATTATATCATGGACTTTATGCGCTGGCTGCAATGCGTATTATACTTTATAATATATTATACATTGTACTTTTATTATACCTTTCGTTATTACTGCGGTGCGCATCAAAATTTTATTTACACAGCAACACAAATTTCTCATTTAGCTTTCGGGTAATTTGAAGCATTGTTTAATTAACCATTGCGTGATTCGTGTTATCTTATTTCATTATTTATCTATGACATTATAACACTCAACAAATGTAAAAATGTGCTCGAAACAAAAAATTCTTCTAAGTAATTTTTATAGAATCTTAATGAAATTTCAATTACTCTGCAATTTGAATTATTTTTAACAACAAAGCTTTTGCATTTATACAAAATGCAATTTAGTAATCTAATTAAGTCGTTTAAACTTAGATTAATCGATGATGCGTTAATTAGTTATACATATCGTTCCAGTTAGAAATCAACGTATTATTGTAATAAAATATTTCAATTTTTGAACTCGGTCAGTAATTATCTCCTTGTGTCTATAAGTGCTATTACTATCGGGTAATTATTATATAGTAAAATAGTATGATTACGGTCAATGATATGGTATGCGAATTTAACGGTATGTTACTTACGTGAGACTACATTAGTTAATTAAAATCTAATGCAATTACAACAGGTATACAACCTTGTACGCCTGTTAAGAGAAAACGGCTTTGTCAGCAATGATGTTACCAGGGACGTTACACGACAGTACAAAGTCATACCACAACATAGACAAGTCTCGTAAACGGGGCCTTATCGCACAGGGTGATCTCCGATCTGTTGCGTTGTCCTAAAGCCGAGAGCTTTCCGATCCCTTTAACTTTCCTGTTTAACGCTTGAGAGGATCGCACGTTAGGCTAACCCATGATTTTTCTCTGAAAGTTTCTGCTCGTCAGTCAAGATTGATGATGTATATAAAAATAACAAACGTATCAAATTTGCATTGCTAAAAATAATAAATTTTTTCCCGTTCTATCATGGATAAAATAGATCGGATGGTTCAGTAAAGCTATAGCTTATTGGGCGAATTCAACATTTATAATTAAACAAATTTGATGGTTCAACAAAGAAATTATATCTGTAAGTAATTATCAGTACGCTAATTCAACTAATTCTTCTGTAATGGAAATTGCTAATATAACAAATTTTCTTCATTTTTCATCATATTTTTTTCTGTGATTCATTGTACTAATATTAAAAACATTAAAAACCGCCGTTCTAAAAAGAAAGGTGATTATTTCGATCAATAGATTAAGAGATCCCCAAGAAAGTACAATTATATACATCTGTTCACATGAATACATCTATCCATTTATTTTATTAAATTTTAATGTTGATGTCTGGAAAGTTAACCCTCGTAGGACATACTGGGTCTTTCGTGACCCGTGCCATTTCTAATAGTTCTTATTTCTCATATACCTGTGAACATGGCCCTATGCCCCCCCCCCCCATGAGAAAAAACTTTGTGATGGGAGGAATATAGGGAAACAACGGTGACAAGAAATCTCTATGTGTTGTCGAGTAGCACGGTCGCAAAATTGCGTAATGACATATTCAGATGCTCAAATAATTGCATTTTTTTGCATCTGGCTCCTGTAATATTTTTTTGCGTAAACTATGATATCTGTACAAAAACATCCTACAATGATTTTTTTTGGTACATATATAGCAAAGTTACAATTTTTATACTGAATTATTTTCTTTTTCCAGTGCAGAAAGTAATATCCATAATTTTTCTAAACATTTGTTCCAATGTTTGCATAGCAGGATAATTTAGTAGAGACCTTAAAGAATATGTGTGAATTTTTACGGAATTTTTCGAGCACTTTAAGAGCCGTAAAATCGAGTCGGACATGAATGACCCATGTGTGTCGTCCAAAGATACCAAAAATAAGTGTGTCCTACGAGGATTAAGCTCGTTTGTATCAATTTCAATATTACTTTCAAGAATGTAACATTACGTTAATTATCTTTTCAACCTTGTGTTTCCAAGATTATTACATGCCATCATTGTTACGACCGTTGTTATGATGGTCTTATCCTTTTCTCCACAGGACACTGTAGGCTCTCACGTTTTTCCATCCAGATAAACTGGCCATGGAATACTCCCATGACCCATGGAATACTCGGCTAGTCGTTCTCGTACCCTCGTCACTTCCACTTAACTAAAAAGCCTTTTAACGAGGCCGACTCCGCGAAAAATGTGCCGTGAGGATGCCACGCAACCGATCGATATCTCGTCACGAGGGCTCAGGATCGAAGCTCTGCTTTTCGCCGGGAATGAGAATTTCTCGACGCCTTACGAAGTACAGAAAATACACGCGTCTCTTCTGATACGGGAACGAGGCTTTTCCGATAATTATTCATCGAGCTATGCCGGCAAACGTAGACGGCACCACAAGGAAAAAAGACGATGTTATAACGGAGAGAAAAAGACGGATGTTATAACGGTATTTGTATAAAAATGAAGAAAAGTTTTCGTTTTGAAACTTTTTGTTTTTCGGCACGTGAAAAACGTTTGTGTAAAACAGACTTTTTGTAGTAGTTTTGTAATTTCGCGAAGGGTTGTTAAAGTAGAACTGGCCAAACCGGAAAATCATTGAATGCCCGACTGTGGGTGCAGCCCTAAATGTCTCGCTGATGTTTTAGGTGGCGGCCGGCCACATTGCCCGACACGTGAACGACCGCTTTCAACCGTTTTATTGATCATAAGCGGAATTGCACGTCCCTCGGGCCTATTTTTGTACTCTCCGGGAAAGAACGTAAACGATTGCAAAGAGAAAAAATAATATGCTGCAAGCGACAGATTGGAGAAGTTCAAATAATTGGAGAAAAAATTTTTTCAGCGTTGTTTTCGCTAGAAAATTCTTACCTCGGACTATTAATTAATTTTATTTAAACAGTTTTGTTATATGTAGTTTAATATTAATTTCTATACAACAATATAAGTTAAATTAAAATTTAACCAAGTTTATTTTTCTATATTTTACATATATCTATACTTTTTTTTTTACTTACATAATCTAAATTTTTGTTTTCCATTACTTTCTTAAAAAAATAAAATTTTTTTTCTCTTTCTCTGTATTCTCTTAATTGTTCCGTATACAACAAAGCAAAAAAACAATATTATACAAGACATGTCGTCCAATGCATAAAAGATGATCTCTACTTTATCATGAACTTAACAAAGATAATAAATATGCACGCGTTTTTATCATTGTGACTCTGATTACAAAGCCAATAATGTCGTTTCTGTACTTGTCTTTTTTTTCTTCTATCGTGCCTCTAATAATTATACAACGTTACTTCGAGAAATCGCGTTTTTCTTGGAGATAGTCATCTTATTGGTCCTCGGAATCTTGCAACGCATTCGTCTTCTCGTTATGTTG